TTTTTAATAATTTCAGTCTTGTGAGAACAACTTCTTAGCCTTAGGTCTTTGTTGCTTTTACTGTGTGATGATAGACAAAGGACTAAGAATTATAAGGAGATGTAACAGTCTAACAGTTCTTGTTCCTTTGTGCTTGCATTATTGGTATTATACTATTCTCAATCCTTTGTCTTTGCGGGGAACATTTAGAGCTACTTTTTCATTTTGTGAAGGTTAATTTAGTTAAAACCAGATAGTATAATCAGTAACTCCATCTTACCTGGTACATGCCAGTTACAGTATGTTGTAGTACAGTGAAAGAAATCTGTATTGTGAATACCCCACTGTTCCCCTAAGCTACCTCATGTACCATTTGAACTTACAAATCCCATGAGAGAGTCAGGGATTACTCTTATGCTAAACTTTAGTAAATCTTACTTTCTTTTATTTGTTGAAGAATAATCAGAAATTCTCAAACCCCAGAGGATCATTTATGTAATCTCTGAACTTTGGAAACCACTGATTGAAAATTAAGCTCAGGATTAAGGATTACAAGAGAGTGAAAATAATATTTGTATTTTTTTTTTTTTTTGGACCGGGGATCGAACTCGGGTCCTTGTGCTTGCAAGGCAAGCGGCGGAACCACAGAGCTAAATCCCCGGCCCTATATTTGTATTTTCTAATATTGAAATATGTGTTCTGGATTTACCCTCCTGATGGTAAAGTAGCATGTGTAGGTGTTCAAGGTTGGATGCTTCCAACAGGGCCTTGAAAGCAGAAGTAAATGAAGAAATTTTGGGTTCTACTCAGTAACATTCACTTAATAATCATACCTTTTCTGCCTTTGGTTTCATACTGTTTTCAGAAATAGTGTATTTGGACATTGCTTTAACTTTGTTTTCCATCTACGCTCTTATATGTTATGTGGCTGCAGTCTATATAGGTGAAGTTAACTGGATATTTTGAAAACATGAGGTAGTTATTAATGCCAGGTAGAACTGGCCAATTGTTTAATTATTAGAAACTCCTGATATTTTCATTGGAATGTAAAAAAGAAATGTTGTGTTCATTCATTGTTTTGTTCTTTCTAGCTCATAGAAGTGAGAATAATTATGGACATCCTTTTACAAAAGAATTAATTTAAATAAATGTTATAAAATCTATTAATTTAAAACCTTACAATAATTAAATGTAGTTATCTTAGTCACTTTCCTATCACTGGGACAAAATACCAGACACCTGAAAATTAACGGAGGAGAAGTTTGTTTTGGTTCAAAGTTTGAGTCTGTGGTCTGCTGACTCCAAGGCAGAGATGTTATGGAGTAACATTTGAAAGAGAACAGGTATTCAGCCCATGGAAGCCAGGAAGGAGAGGGAAGGGGAGGAACTAGGGACAAGAATACACGTTTCCAGGTCATATCCCCAATGACCCATCTCCAATCCAGGCTCTACCTCCTAATAGCACACTCAGCTACTGAATTTATCAGTGGATGAATCCATTGATGAGTATAGGGCCACCAGGATCCAATCACCTTCTATATACATGATACTTTTAGGGGACACTTGAGATCTAAACCATAACAGTAATTATAATCATTGTTCATGTGAGGATATATTTTTAGGTAGGGTGTCATTACTTCATTCTCTTCAGAGGTACAGATCCCTCAACCTAGAAGTAGGAGAGTACTTGAATAATTATTATTAAGAGACAGAAGGAAGGAAGCAAATTAAAAAAAATTTTTTTGTAGTATTGGGGATTATGGGAATTGAACCCAGGGCCTTCATACTGAGCTGCTATATCCTCAATCCTTTTTATGTTTTTTTTTTTTGTTGTTGTTGTTACCAGGGATCAAACTAGGGATCTTGTGCTTGCAAGGCAGCTGGAAGAACCACTGAGCTAAATCCCCGGCCCTCCCTTTTTCTTTTTCAGTACCGGGGATCGAACTCTGGTCCATGCGCTTGGGCAGCAGGCGGCGAAACCGCTGAGCTAAATCCCCTGCCCTTATGTTTCATTTTGAGACAGGGTCTCCCTAAGGTGCTAAGTTTCCAGGCTGGGCTCAAACTTGGAATTTTTGTGCCTCAGCCTCCCAGAGAGCTGGGATTATAGGCATGCACCACCAATCCAAGCTTCAAGATCAGATTTAAAAACAGCTTTTGGAAAATCAAGACTTAAGCTGAAATAAAGATATGTTGCATGAACAGAAACAATTAATAGAAAATTTACAGAATTTATAGCAAATTTATAGAATGGCCAAGAAGCATTGCTTCTGTCTTACAGGGAAGAAAGAGATATTAAAACCTACAAGGTTGACATTTATCTCTCATAAAGCAAAATAGAATAACACTAGAAAAGATAGGAAAATAAAAGCTGGACGTTATGGCACACACTTGTAATACCAGCACTC